TGACAATACATTCATGGTTAACCACTTGAGTGCTAAACATGATTCAGAAGCTAGGAAATAAGAAGGTAACTGAAGTCATTACGTCTTTTTGTGGGAGATACCCAGTATTTCCAACGTTAAGAGAGGTTTCTATTGTAAAATTTCACAAAAATAGACTAGAACATAAGCCTTTGCAGTTGTTGTCCCTTTTTGTGCTAGAGAGGCCACTGATTCAATGGTTTATCAAGTAAACCTATCGTTTTTTTTAAACCCAAAAGGCAAAAAATAAAAACTTGGCACCAATCAAATATCATTTGAGTGAATCTCGCTCTCCTGCGATAGAGTTTGTTCAGTATCTGCGGCTTTTGCCAAATTAAAAATTGATTGAAAGGCTAGAAAAGGCTCAACTTTTTAAAGCAAAAATCCCGGTAATTGCTGAAACGCTATATAGTGAATAGTTGTGCTATTTACAAATTTATGTCCATTTTCACAATAGAAACTTACTGAGGATTACGGTAGGTCTACGCTGAGGGGCCAGAATAGGGTTGATTGACATGCTGATTACAAAAACCATACACATGTGACACAGGCTTTCACAGTACGATTTAGGCATGTAACAGAGTCACTGATCTGTTGAAGAAGAAAAATGGGATGATGTTGTAATGTATGTGCGAAATCGATTTGCCACGGAATTTTTTTCGTTGTGTCAACAGGTCAAATCGCCCTCATAGAGCATGCAAGTATTTAAGTGATTGACCCTTGCGGCGAGTATTTACCGTGATATAGTAAGGTTTCGTGGGAATGGACTTGATTGCGACTAGCATATCCAATTGCTCAATTGCGTAGTTCAAAGTTTCGAGCAACTTTTAGCAATCTGGAAAAATCTGTTGGCTGGACTTTGCTTTCAAGTTTTGATTTCAATCACTTTTAATTTATCAAAACCAAAATTAAATGGATCGGGTACACAACTCCGTACAGAGGAAGGCTTCTTTCTTCAAGCGATATAAACTATATTGCCGGAGTTCTTGATGTTTTTGGATTTTTTTGTTGATATTGAAAGAAATACGAACCTCTTCAAAAACCGAATAAATAAGCCGAAGCATTAACAAAACTAAAGATGTGCATTTTTTGAGATTTATATAAGGACTCGTTAGGCTGCAGTGGAGAATATTAGAAGAAAATATTAAGGCAGAAAATCCTGGCTGAACTTGTGCGG